CGGGGGTGGGGTGGGGTGGGGGTTGGGGTAGATGGCGGAGGAGTCCTTGTCCCATTGTGCTTCCTGGCAGGGCGTCCTCCTTGCCCGAGCGAAGCGTCCATTCCACCCGCAAAGGTGGGCTTGTGTTCTGACTTGCGTCTTTCTTCTCCGTGAGGTCCACAGCGGTTTCTGTCTGGTTGGCCGTTTGTATTTCTCATCCAGACCTCTGGTTGTGTGGTCCTAGTCACTCGCCGTGGTCATGCACTCCAGCCCCAACTCCTCTTGAGGATCCCAGGCCCCGGGAGGCTGCACTGCTGCTTCCATCGAGGGGCTGTCCTGGTTTTGCTTTCCTTCAGACTTTAGGGCTTATGGAGCACATCAGTCCCCCTCCCCTCCCCTGCATTGCCCCTTTCTGTCCCTCCTCCATTCTGAGCCTGGCCAGACTCCGTGCTGGGGCAGAGGCTGCCTTTCCGGTCTAAGGATCCCGGGGGCTCTATCTGCACCATTTGTGGAAGCCGATGGCCCGGCCTTTCATGCTCGTCTGCTGTAGTCTGGAAGCTCCGATGCCCCCTGTGCCACCACCCAGCCACATGCTTGGGGTGCCCTGGCTGGGACTTGCACCCAGGTCTACAGAGTGGTGGCGAGCAGGCAACCCCTGAGCCAGCACTGCTCCTGCTGGTGGCTGAGATCTTGGCTCTCCAGCCCCACCCTGGCACCCCCTGTACTGAATTAACGTTGCAGCTCCTTTGCCAGAGTGTCCGTTTCTCCCAGTGGTGGCTTCGCTGGGTGAGGGCCTGGGGGAAGAAGACCACCTGGCGCGCTCTCTCTCCCAGGATCCAGCCTGCTGCTGCTGCAGGAGAACCCGTGCCTGGTGGAGCTGCTGTCCCACGCCTGCAGGTCCCAGGAGGTGAGCGTCCGCGTCCTCACCTTCGCACTGCGCCTTGCCGGGGTGTTCGCCGCCCAGGAAAGCTGCTTCCAGTATCTCCAGGTGAGTCTGGACCCCCAGCCTCCACGTCTCCTGAGCCTGGCTCGTTGTGGTGTCTGGTGGTTCTGAGAGGGACCAGCAGAGAACCGAGTTGTGACTTCTTTGGGTCAGCGGGAAGGGTGCCGGGTGAAGGGCCTGGCGGACCGTCTTGGGTGGGAGGTACGGGCACAGCTGCTGTTGGAAGCCCCTGCTGTGGGTCCTGATCGCAGGCCCATCTGAGGAGAGCAAGGCTGTCCGTAGGGTTTCCAGGCTGCTGTGCCTTTAACAGGAGAGAGACATGGCTGTCCACCTTCCGGATGATAAAGCCATCCTCTGCCAATCACAGTGACCCTCGGCTCCCAAGCCTGTTGACCCTTGTGGGAGCAGACAGCCTCAGCTTTCTCCCGAGGGGCAGCGGTGGGTTTGAACCGCCAGCCTTGCAGTCAGCAGCCCACCACTACCTCAGGTGCCCTGTGGTGCAGTTCTCCTCCGTCTTGTGGAACCCCTATAAGACAGATGCCACTGCAGGACCACAGGCTTGGCTTTGGGGGTTTGTTGCTAATCTTTACGGGAGCTGCTTGCCAGCTGTCTTTCCCCCACGACCCGCTGGGTGGGTCTGAACCACCAACCTCCGGGTGAGCAGCCTGGTGCTCAACTGCCGGGCTGCTCACCTCCAGGGCGGCAGTTGAAGCTCACCAGTTGCTCCGATGAGGGGAGATGGGGCCGCCTGGTCCCATGACGGGGCACAGACTCGAAACCCCGCTCTGGGCGCCGTGAGTGGGAAGCCGCCCGATGGCAGAGTGCGCGGTTGGGGGCTGGTGCTTTCAACAAGGCTGTAGGCTCGCCGGTGATGGTTACCCATTGGGCAGCTGACCACCAGCTGCTCCGAGGGAGGAAAAGGAGGCTGTGTGTCCCTCTGAAGAGTCACAGTCTTGGAAACCCGCTGGGGCAGTCCTGATTCTCCCATAGGCGGTGAGCAGGCAGGTAGCCCAGACCAGGTGAGCACCCCCCACACAGGAGGAAACGGAGACTCTCAGAGCCCTGAAAGGAGCACGGAGACCAAGTGAGCCCTTCATCACAGACCCACCGACAGTGGGCAGGATGGAACCAGAGTCCACGCCCTCCCGGCAGCTGGAAGACTCACGGCTGCCGTGTCTGGACAGGGGAGAGCCGCCCCTGTGGGTCTCTGAGACTGGGACTCTCCACGGGAGCAGACAGCCTCGTCTTCTCCAAAGTGGCAGCTGGTGGTTTCCAACCGGCGACCCTGTGATGAACAGCCTACCGCACCGCCGGGCAACACCAGGGCTTCCCTCGCCCGGCCTTCGAGTCCCGTGCTGCTCCTAGGGCCCTGTAGCACCGAGCCGAATGGCCCCCGTGGGTTTCCCAGGCTGGACCTCCCTCCTTCCCAAAGGGAGCCTGAGTGACCCAGATCCAAAGCCATAGAGACACCCCAGAGAGGACCTGGGGTGCGTAACCCTCGTGGGGTGAGTGTGAGGTCCTCATGGACCCTCCGTGAGCCACAGCCGGCCGTGTGCAGAGGGTGAGGCTGGATGAAGGTGACCACCTTTTTTTTTTTTTTATCATTTTATTGGGGCCTCATGCAACTCTTAGCGCAATCCATCCGTCCATCCATCGTGTCAAGCACATTTGTACATTTGTTGCCATCATCATTCTGAAAACATTTTTTTGTACTTGAGCCCTTGGTATCAGCTCCTATTTTTTACCCTCCCTCCCCAGACCCCCTCCCTTGTGAATCCTTGATAATTTATAAATTATTATTTTGTCATATGTTACACTGTCCAACATCTCCCTTCACCCACTTTTCTGTTGTTT